GCAATGGAGACACATAATGGTTCTACAGAGGATGCTAAGGATATATTGGACCGGATGTGAGCAACGATGAGGTTTTGGAGAGGATGCAAACAAGGAGGAAGCTTATACTTAACATCAGGAAGAGGCAGATAAAATTTCTGGACACATAATGAGAAAAGAAGAGACTCGAGGCAATGGAGGTATGGTTCTACAGAAGGATGCTAAGGATATATTGGACCGAGTGTGTGAGCAACGATGAGGTTTTTGGAGAGGATGCAAACAAGAAGGAAGCTTATACTTAACATCAGGAAGAGGCAGATAAAATTTCTGGGAACATAATGAAAAAAAAGACTCGAGGCAATGGAGGTATGGTTCTACAGAAGGATGCTAAGGATATATTGGACCGAGTGTGTGAGCAACGATGAGGTTTTTGAGAGGATGCAAACAAGGAGGAAGCTTATACTTAACATCAGGAAGAGGCAGATAAAATTTCTGGGGCACATAATGAGAAAAGAAGAGACTCGAGGCAATGGAGGTATGGTTCTACAGAAGGATGCTAAGAGCAACGATATTTTGGAGAGGGATTGGACCGAGGAAAAGCAGTAAAATTTCAGAGCAACGATGAGGTTTTCTACAGAAGGATGAGGATGCAAACAAGGAGGAGGTTTATACTTAACATCAGGAAGAGGCAGATAAAATTTCTGGGACACATAATGAGAAAAAGAAGAGACTCGAAATGGGATATGGTTCTACAGAAGGATGCTAAGGATATCATGGACCGAGCGTGTGAGCAACGATGAGGTTTTGGAGAGGATGCAAACAAGGTGGAAGCTTATACTTAACATCAGGAAGAGGCAGATAAAATTTCTGGGACACATAATGAAAAAGAAGAGACTCGAGGCAATGGAGGTATGGTTCTACAGAAGGATGCTATATATTGGACCGAGTGTATGAGAGCAACGATGAGGTTTTGGAGAGGATGCAAACAAGAAGGAAACTTATACTTAACATCAGGAAGAGAAAGATGGCAATGGAATGGTTCTACAAGGAGCTAAGGATATCTTGGACCGAGCGTTAACGATGACTTAATGCAAACAGGAAGAAGCAACATCAAAGAGGCAGATGGGACACATAATCAGAAAAGAAGAGACTCGAGGCAATGGAGCTATGGTTCTACAGAAGGATGCTAAGGATATATTGGACCGAGTGTATGAGCAACGATGAGGTTTTGGAGAGGATGCAAACAAGGAGGAAGCTTATACTTAACATCAGGAAGAGGCAGATAAAATTTCTGGGACACATAATGAGAAAAGAAGAGACTCGAGGCAATGGAGGTATGGTTCTACAGAAGGATGCTAAGGATATATTGGACCGAGCGTGTGAGCAACGATGAGGTTTTGGAAGGGATGCAAACAAGGATGAGGTTTTTAATGGAGGATCGCAAACAAGGATATCATGGACCGAGCTTATACTTAACATCAGGAAGAGGCAGATGAAATTTCTGGGACACATGAGAAAAAAAGGGACTCGAGGCAATGGAAGTATGGTTCTACAGAAGGATGCTAAGGATATATTGGACCGAGTGTGTGAGAACGATGAGGTTTTGGAGAGGATGCAAATAAGGAGGAAGCTTATACTTAACATCAGGAAGAGGCAGATGAAATCTCTGGGACACATAATGAGAAAAAGAAGAGACTCGAGGGCAATGGAGGTATGGTTCTACAGAAGGATGCTAAGGATATCATGGACCGAGCGTGTGAACAACGATGAGGTTTTGGAGAGGATACAAACAAGGAGGAAGCTTATACTTAACATCAGGAAGAGGCAGATGAAATTTCTGGGACACATAATGAGAAAAGAAGAGACTCGAGGCAATGGAGGTATGGTTCTACAGAAGGATGCTAAGGATATATTGGACCGAGCGTGTGAGCAACGATGAGGTTTTGGAGAGGATGCAAACAAGGAGGAAGCATACTTAACATCAGGAAGAGGCAGATGAAATTTCTGGGACACATAATGAAAAAGAAAGACTCGAGGCAATGGAGGTATGGTTCTACAGAAGGGATGCTAAGGATATCATGGACCGAGCGTGTGAACAACGATGAGGTTTTGGAGGATACAAACAAGGAGGGCTTTACTTAACATCAGGAAGAGGCAGATGAAATTTCTGGGACACATAATGAAAAGAGGAGACTCGAGGGCAATGGAGGTATGGTTCTACAGAAGGATGCTAAGGATATATTGGACCGAGCGTGTGAGCAACGATGAGGTTTTGGAGAGGATGCAAACAAGAAGGAAGCTTATACTTAACATCAGGAAGAGGCAGATAAAATTTCTGGGACACATAATGAGAAAAGAAGAGACTCGAGGCAATGGAGGTATGGTTCTACAGAAGGATGCTAAGGATATATTGGACCGAGTGTGTGAGCAACGATGAGGTTTTGGAGAGGATGCAAACAAGGAGGAAGCTTATACTTAACATCAGGAAGAGGCAGATAAAATTTCTGGGACACATAATGAGAAACAAGGGCCTGGAGAATTTGATACTCACAGTTCGAATAGAGGGAATGAGAGACAAGGGAGGGCAATGACATACCATGGGGGCCTAAGCAAGTGGATGACAGAACGTGGTCTGGGGGAGGTGGCAGATGGACGAAACTTATTTAGATCTACAAGGGATAGGGTGAAATGGAGAACCACTGGGGTAGGTTGTTCTAGTTCTACGTGCCATGGCTCTTCTGGATGTCTCAGTTATCACCCTTTTGACTCTTTTGTTCCATCACTGCTGTAGCCAGGTATCGAGTCAAGTCATTGACCCACTCAACGCTTTTATCTACTGAGTCATGTATCTTGAGGACACCAGTGTAAGACTTTTTGAGACTTATAACAAAGCTTCAGTAACCATTTTTTTTTTTACCAAATTTCATATTTATTATTATTTTATATTATTTTTTTCTGAATACTCTCGAATGTTGCTTCATTGGTTTTTCAGTGTTTTTTTGTGTATATTTGGTTTTAACCCTAGAACACTAACCATCAATTTTACACCACTACTAACCATGGGTTACACCACTACTAACCATGGGTATATCATACCCGATTTTGAAAATATCAAAAAAATATTAAATATAATTCTTTATTTGAAATATTTTACATGCAGACACTTCAAACTTTGTACTTTAAGTTAACATTAATAGGAACGGAAAAACATTATTTACGTAAGAAAATCAGGTACTCAAAATTATAATTAAAAATAGAAACTTTGCACAGGTACTATATACCCATGGTTAGTGTTCTAGGGTTAAACTGGTTTTATTTAATACCGCCATTTTTACGTTTGATATGTCAAACTGGAACTTTTATGCATATTTTCTTTTATATATATTTTATAGTTTTATTTCTAAAAAAAATCGACAAGATCTATCTGTTTAATTTTTCATTGTATTTTTCAAATTTTTCAAATAAGGTATTGTGTATTTGGATCAAAATTATGGCCCGTCCCGGGTATGGGGATAAATAACATCCGCATCCTGGGTAAGACGATAGACTACATTCAACAGCAAGGCCTCTGGTCAGGAGGTTTGAAGAGCGTGGAACCACCTCTTAATAGCTGGTGTTTCCAGGTCCACCCTGACCCAGGATGGTAGCACCTGTTAGAGTCCCAGCTGTGGGTAAATAGTTAACCCCCAAACTGGGTTCAAAACACAATGAAAGTGTAAAAATAGGTTTTAATGCCAGAAATACTTTGTAAAAAAATATTACCGGCAATAAATTTTTGAAGGAAAAAATTATTGCCATCTATACATTTTTTGAAAGAAATATTACAAGCGATACATCATGAAGAAAAAATTTTACCAGAAATTATCCCAGAAATTATACAAGAATAGACATGGCCGGGTGGGAAATGTGATCGATTTGGAACAGTACAAGAGACGATATTTTAACGATGGTTATTCCACTTAAGTTGTTACTATTCCAAATAAAATGAATACCATCTTTGTCACGAAAGCCTAAAAACATGTATGCACATTACGAGTTGAACAAAACCTTGTCATAGAAGCGTTTTACATCCATCACAGTGTCCAACTTGTATAGTGCGCTCCGAAAGAGTCAGAAAAGTTCAAGTAACCACAAGAATGATTGTCAGCACCAAGAGATTCGTACCAAAGTATTACACACATCCTTTCGAACTGAAACTTTTAATTCAAGAAAAAAAACAGCAGCTATATTATTATCGCACACATTTCATGGAATACAGTTATCGTAATTACCCATATATAATACGCTTTCATCCAAAATACGCACCCCTAAAATTGTGCTTAAAGTGTGAAAACATGCTTCTACTCACGCATAATACGCTTCCCTTGTTTGGTAATTAAACCCAATAAATTGTACCTCTCCAGTTTTATTATGGCCAGCATTTCCTACTTTTATTTAAAAAAAAACTGGTTTAAACATGGAATAATATTATTCTAATTTAGTTTTATGATAATTCTTATTTTATTAAACATTTGTATGTATTGTTAGGTACATATGATTCTATTTGAAATCCTTATGGGGTCACAATAGCCGAATTTTAGAGTTAAATTGTCGTATGTTTGTGGTGAGTAGTCATTTCGCAACTTAAATAGATCTATGAAATGGCAATTTGTTAAGGATTTTTTATAGATGTGTATAATACGCATAATTTGCTTATTATTTTTTTTAGAAAAATGCGTATTATACATGGGGAATTACGGTAAATAAACTTTTTGTATCTCTTTTGATGTTTCAGTTCAAAATTAATTTCACTAAATTTGTCAGCTTTTCTGATATTTATACATACCCAACGTAATTTTTTTTCTATTGATCGTACCTTTAGATGCGTTCGGTGGATGAGGTAGTTGGGTATTTTCTTAGGGTGCCATGAATGAGTGTTAAAACCCCAGTAAAATCTAAAATTTCCAATGCAACTTTCTCAAGAACCTTATTTTGAAAATTGGCGCATAATCTAAATGGACTGTTCTTTCTTTTAATTCTAGTTGATGGTAGGGATCTAGTAATTAGAATCAATTTTTGTCTTAATTCAAAATCACTTTCTAAATCGTGGATTTGGCTCTTCTATCTATCTATCTATCTATCTATCTATCTATCTATCTATCTGCTCCTATCTAAATATCTATTTCAATCTGTCTTTCTTTCTGCTCCTCACTCTCTCTTTTTCTCTCTGTTTCTATCTATCTATCTATCTATCTATCTATCTATCTATCTATTTCTTTCTTTCTTTCTTTCTTTCTTTCTTTCTTTCTTTCTTTCTTCTCCCCTATCTTTCTCTCTATTTCAATCTATCTATCTATCTATCTATCTATCTATCTATCTATCTATCTATCTATCTGATCCTCTCTCACTCTTTCTTTCTTTCTTTCTTTCTTTCTTTCTTTCTTTCTTTCTTTCTTTCTTTCTGCACCTCTCTCTCTCTCTATTTCGTTCATTCAATCTATTTATCTATCTATCTATTTGTTACTCTGTATATATGTATGTTTGCATCTATCTATCTATCTATCTATCTATCTATCTATCTATCTATCTATCTATCTATCTCAGTCTGTTCATATCTATCTATCTATCTATCTATCTCAGTCTGTTCATATCTATCTATCTATCTATCTATCTATCTATCTGTATATATGTATGTATGTATGCATCTATCTATCTATCTATCTATCTATCTATCTATCTATCGATTACTTTCTTTTTTTCTTTCTTTTTTTCTTTCTATCTATCTATCTATCTATCTATCTATCTATCTATCTATCTATCTATATATCTATTTCTTTCTTTCTTTCTTTCTTTCTTTCTTTCTTTCTTTCTTTCTTTCTTTCTTTCTTTCTTTCTGCTCCCCTATCTTTCTCTCTATTTCAATCTATCTATCTATCTATCTATCTATCTATCTATCTATCTATCTATCTATCTGATCCTCTCTCACTATTTCTTTCTTTCTTTCTTTCTTTCTTTCTTTCTTTCTTTCTTTCTTTCTTTCTTTCTTTCTTTCTTTCTGCACCTCTCTCTCTCTCTCTCTCTCTCTCTCTATTTCGTTCATTCAATCTATTTATCTATCTATCTATTTGTTACTCTGTATATATGTATATTTGTATCTATCTATCTATCTATCTATCTATCTATCTATCTATCTATCTATCTATCTATCTATCTATTTCTCTGTATATATGTATGTATGTATGCATTTATCTATCTATCTCTCTATCGATTTCTTTCTTTCTTTCTATCTATCTATCTATCTATCTATCTATCTATCTATCTATAATATACATGTGTGTTTCGAAATTTTCATGTTTAGGCGGGAATACAAATTTATGCATCCTTACAAAAATACCAACAAATTTATCTGTAAATGAAGACAGAAGATTAGAATCGAGAAAGAGGAATGCTGTGCGATCATGTTTGTGGGAAAAAAACCAAACAAAAAAGAAAAGATTTATTTAAGGCGCTGGACCAAAAGCAACAACGGTAAAAGCTTTTGCTTTTTTTTTTTTTTGCATTGTAAATAAGTAAAAAAAAATTGCAAGTATAAACAAATAAGAATAAGAAAGAAATACATTTGTTTATTTACTTCCATTTATTCCCGTGATTTGCTTTTGTATTCGTTTGCTGCAAAGGGAAAATTGAGATGTGAAACTTTTGGAAGCCTGTGACGTCAAGGAAAAAAAATCTCTTTTCCTTCCTTTCTATTGGTGATCTCCATTACTTCTAACAAAGATGGCGTCGATTCTAATCTGGAATTGAAACGCAGTCTTGTCTAGTTGAGAACAATTATTAGAAAGCAAAAGAATTTAACATGAAGACAGAAATTCTAAACTAAGAACACACGCAAAAATTTAACTTAACATAGTTTATAATTTAGTGGTGGGTCATTCTTATGACCAGATTTTTTCAGACTATTTATCCGAGCATTTTGCTGCTTTTACTGGTTATAAAATGTTTAGACCAATTCATTATACAGCTTTCTTTAGCTATAAGATTTACATGAATATTCTAAAGAATTGATTTTATTTTTAATCTGGTGTTGTTTCTTTTGCTCAAAGCATTATTTTAATATATGTACATAAACGCCTGTTGCTGATTTTTTTTCTATTATTAATACAAGGTGAATTATGTCTACCGGCCTACGCATTAAGTAAACTTACTAAAGAACGTAGATGTAATGTAATGGCCAAGGACGCATTCCAAAAGCTGGGCAGAGTATTGCGAGATAGGGAGGATTTCTTTGGTAACAAAAAAAAAAAAGAAGAAGAATGAGCTGTTACGTGACATCTGTCCTTCCTTACGGCAGCGAATATTGGACGATTTCCTCAAGGATGAAGAAGAGACTTGAGATGACAGAGATGTGGTTCTACAGAAGGATGCTGAGTATTTCGTGGACCGAGCGTGTGAGCAACGGTGAGGTCTTGGAGAGAATGCAGACAAGGAGGAGGCTCATGTTTAACATTAGGAAGAGACAGCTGAAGTTTCTGGGACACATAATGAGGAAAGAGGGCCTTGAGAATATGATATTCACGGGTCGAATAGAGGGAAAGAGAGACAAAGCAGCACGTGACGAGGGCTTCAGCGAGTGGATGACAGAACGTGGTCTGGGGGAGATAGCAGAGGGGAGCAACTTGTTGAGTGCTGCAAGGGATAGAGGGAGGTGGAGAGCCATGATCGACTACAACTTGAAAGGATAAAAGAAAGAATTCCTCACTAAAGTCATTCACAAAATCCATGCCGGTGTTATAGAATGTCTCTGGCGTTCGCCCGAGACTTTCGCCGTCAGATTACACTGTGCACCGGCGATTTCAGCTGGCAGACACATCGTACGTTTGGAGAGGGTGAGCGACTTGCTTATATTCATTCGCCCTCTTTCACGCTTGCACCAAGGAAAGCTAACTACTACGAGCTCCATAAGATAAAGCGAGGGGCACCTCGAGGCGATGTAATGGTTAACAAGCTTGTCTCGCTAGAACAATTACGACTGAGTACTGATTCGATCCTCACTGGGTGCCCCATGCTTTCGGCCTTGAGCCACATCTAAGCTAGCGATTGGAAAATGAATACATCTATGGGCACCTCGAGGCGATGTAATGGTTAACAAGCTTGTCTCGCTAGAACAATTACGACTGGGTAGTGATTCGATCCTCACTGGGTGCCCCATGCTTTAGGCCTTGTGCCACATCTAAGCTAGCGATTGGAAAATGAATACATCTATGGGCACCTCGAGACGATGTAATGGTTAACAAGCTTGTCTCGCTAGAACAATTACGACTGAGTGGTGATTCGATCCTCACTGGGTGCCCCATGCTTTCGGCCTTGTGCCACATCTAAGCTAGCGATTGGAAAATGAATACATCTATGGGCACCTCGAGGCGATGTCATGGTTAACAAGCTTGTCTCGCTAGAACAATTACGACTGAGTAGTGATTCGATCCTCATTGGGTGCCCCTGCTTTCGGCCTTGTGCCATATCTAAGCTACGCTTGGAAAGTCACTACAGGGCATTTCGACGTAGCGTAATGGTTAGCAAGCTTGTCTCGCTCGATCAATTACGACTGAATAGTAAGTTCGATACTCACTGGATGCTCCAAATTTTCGGCCTTGTGCCACTTTTAAGCTACGCTTAGCGAAATCGCCATAAAATAAAGCTAGAAAAAAACTGGAGAAAATTCTTCTCTCTTTGATTCACAGTCCATCGATATAGTGTTGGGGTTCCTACTGAAGTACTGACAATAGACTAGTAAAATCTAATCAACTGCGTCAAATGTTGCCCCAAATCTCTACTCTCATTTGATCAAACCAAAGTAGACATTTTCAACATGATCCTTCATGGTGACGGAAAGATTCTCGGTAGAACTGGCGTCGGTTGAATTTCCAGACCTCCAGAACTATGCATAACACCCAATGGAATGCTTACAAATTGTTTCTACATTAGTGAGTCAGCCACTAAGCATATACCAAAGAGGGAAACGTCTGCGTTTTTGTAAAAACATATGCAGCAGGGGAATGAGAGTTATCTCCCTTTAGTCACCACTCTTCCAGCTATAACAGAAGCGTTCTTACATAAATATGTGTAGCAAATATAGTTATTTTCTAAGCGTAGCTTAGATGTGGTACAAGGTCTAAAGTATGGGGCACCTAGTGAGGATCGATCTCACTTTTCAGTTGTTACTGGTCTTGCGGAACAAATTTGCTAACCATTGAACCACGACAAGGTGTCCAGTGATTTTCCAAGCGTAGCTTAGATGTGACAAAAGCCCGAAAGTAGGGGGAACCCAGTGAGAATTGGAACTTTTGGAAGCCTGTGACGTCAAGGAAAAAAATCTCTTTTCCTTCCTTTCTATTGGTGATCTCCATTACTTCTAACAAAGATGGCGTCGATTCTAATCTGGAATTGAAACGCAGTCTTGTCTAGTTGAGAACAATTATTAGAAAGCAAAAGAATTTAACATGAAGACAGAAATTCTAAACTAAGAACACACGCAAAAATTTAACTTAACATAGTTTATAATTTAGTGGTGGGTCATTCTTATGACCAGATTTTTTCAGACTATTTATCCGAGCATTTTGTTGCTTTTACTGGTTATAAAATGTTTGGACCAATTCATTATACAGCTTTCTTTAGCTATACGATTTACATGAATATTCTAAAGATTTTATTTTATTTTTAATCTGGTGTTGTTTCTTTTGCAAAAACATATGCAGCAGGGGAATGAGAGTTATCTCCCTTTAGTCACCACTCTTCCAGCTATAGATGTGACAAAAGCCTGAAAGTAGGGGGAACCCATTGAGAATTGAACTCACTACTCAGTCGTAATTGTTCTAGCGAGACCAGCTTGCTAACCATTACTCCGCCTCGAGGTGCTATGTAGCAGGTATATGTAGACAGTTATTCTCCTTCAATTGTTATTATCCCAGATAAAAGAGACTCCATTTTAGTTATCCAGCTTAACAACATGGACGACCATTTTGAGTTGAATAAAGGCCTGAATGAGAAGACTTTTGCGTTCTTGACAATGTCCAACACGTCCAGGGTGCGTCGAAAGTATCAGGAAAATTCAAGAAACAACCTAAAGAATTGTCATTACTGTGCCGAAGATTTACGTACGCAGCCATTTCGCATTGAAACGCCTTGTTTCAAAACAGGCCACACACACTTTATAAAATATATTTAAATTATTTTTCACACATACTTTACAGACACATCGGGTTGAAAAACTGGTTCTGTACGATTTCCGAAGTTAAGCAACGTCGAGCCTGGTCAGTACCTTTATGGGTAGGTATACCAGGTGCTGTCAGCTTGGATGTGTGGGTGGTGTAATGGAGAATGGTTCGAAATTGTTAACTGGAGAGCTGAGTTTCAATTTTTATATCCCTGTACGCGCTAATACCCTAGGGAAGGGTATGAATCCACCTCTTTCCCCAAGCTATGGGTTAATTAGTTAGACTTGTATCACTAAACCATTATTATCCTGAAAAGTAATTCTAACAATCTAAAAATATTTTCTGGCTTTAAATAACCTGCCAGGGTTGATAAGCTGTAAAAATAAACGAATCAATCAATAACACACTTTCAGTCTATCTTGATGTTTTAGTTCATAAATCATTTCATAATCTATCTCCATCTATACGGACGCTATCTTGTTTTATATTTATACATATACAGAACGATTTGTTTGCATTGGTCGAATTTCTAGATCTACTCAGTGAATGAGGAAGTTTTTTTTTATACATATACAAACCGATTTGTTTTGACTGGTCGAATCTGTAGATCTACTCAGCGAATGAGGTATTTAGTTATTTTCTTAAAGTGTCAGCAAAGAGGGCTCAACACCCATTGAAATTTAGAATTTTGAATACTGATTTTTCAAGCAGGTTGCTTTCAAAATTGGGTCAACAAATTCTTGTTACCCTATAATAGACATTTTTCTTAAATAATAGACAACACCCAATACAAACCTTAAAGCTCCTATATGTAGAAGGTTGCTGAATGGGGTTGCTGACGGAGGATGAGTAAAGATTGACCCATGACTGGAAGAGATTGTAGTCTTCAAGGAAATAACAACACGAATGTCTGTTCCATAAAAAGTCGAAGTGAAATTTTATTCTTACAGTTGAAATATGGGGAAATGACAGTGTTTCGATTCGTTAGAATGGCGTCTCCAAGCTGTAAATGTCTGAACAGGTGGAACTAGTGAAGAGAACTCATTTGGGCATTTGCCATGGGAAGAACTACAGAGAAGCGATAGAGTTGCAATGTTGCGTCTGTGGGGAAAAA